TCTAGAGAGATATTTAGTTGTAAAGTAATACTACTGCTAACAAAATTCCTCTGGAAAACAGATAGAAAGAGATCATTTTTAAAAGCGGCACAAGGCTGCCATGCTAGCAGGGGTGAAGGCAGTAGAGGAAATGAAGGAATCCTCCCCTGCTATGCCCTTCTGTCACCTCTGAAATGAACGGCAAATATTAGCAATTCTGAATGCATTAGGAACAGGTCGGCTTTCTTCTGACTCTCCTGCTAGCTGAAAGGGACTCCTTTAACATCACTAATATGAGACTCATACCAATGTTTTGGTAGCAAAGGACTGTCAGGAAGACAAATGCCTTTGCTGCCAGTGTCTATTAGGGACATAATTCGGGATGTGCAGCTATAGTTTTGAGGGAGAGCAGTGTGGGCTGTAAAAGCCATCTGCCCAGTACATTTTCTAAAAGAGCAGAGATGGTCAGACTTTAATTGGAAACAAGAGCTGAGCCCCACATCTTGCAGCAGAGAAAATGCTGGCCCATCCTCTGTGGGCATATTTGACAGGTGGGGTGGGGCTCACCTGACGTAATATGATGTCAGGTGATTACACTTCAAAGGAAAAACCAGCCCTATGGTTGTGCTGCTTTCCTTGGCAAAAGCAGAGCTTGCTTTTGGTGCTGAATTAAGTGCCGAAAGCAATACCCCCTTGCGCCAGGGATGGATGGCGCTCGAGAACACTGTAAGAACATGCTAGCTCTGACTGGGAGATCCTAAATGCAGCTGATCCGGGGGGGGGGGGTTGCATTTGGTGCTGAATTTAAAAATGGGGCAGGAGCAAGCATTCAAGTACTAGCTGCACTTCATGTCTTCCTGTTCTGACAGAGTCCCCATTCATGATGAGGTTGTTATGTGCATTTACACACAGGTGGCACTGTGGTCTAAACCCCAGAGCCTAGGACTTGCCAATCAGAAGGTCGGCGGTTCAAATCCCTGCGATGGGGTGAGCTCCTGTTGCTCGGTCCCTGCTCCTGCGAACCTAGCAGTTTGAAAGCACATCAAAGTGCAAGTAGATAAATAGGTACCGCTCCAGTGGGAAGGTAAACGGCATTTCCGTGCGCTGCTCTGGTTCACCAGAAGCGGCTTAATCATGCTGGTCACATGACCCGGAAGCTGTCTGTGGACAAACGCCGGCGCCCTCGGCCAATAAAACGAGATGTGCGTCGCAACCCCAGAGTTGGCCACGACTGGACCTAATGGTCAGGGGTCCCTTTACCTTACTCAAACACAATCGACCAGCTCTGCTTCAGGCCTTCCCTGTTGATGCAGACAAGTCTGAAGTGGAGCTGGCGTATTCGGTGTTGGAAGTGAGGCTTGCATATTCATCCCTGTCCTCTTCCCACTTCATGCATTCAGGCAAGCACCAAAATGGAGCAGAAGCCTTAAAGAGATATTACTTATGATTACAGTGGTACCTCCGGTTGCACACAGGATCCATTCCGGAGCTCCGGTCGGATCCCGAGGTTTGTGTATCTGGGGGTGCCACTTTTGTGCATGTGCACGGCACATAGAGCGCTTCTGCACATGTGTGCAGGGGCGAAACCTGGAAAAATACTTCCAGGTTTGCCGCGCACATATCCCGAAGGATCCGTAACCAGAGGTGAACATAACTGTACATTTATACCTCACTTTTATTCCAGGTCATCCCTTTCCTCATTTTATCCTCACAGCTCTGTGAGGCAGGTGGTTATCATCATCATCTCCATCTATAAGATTTATATACCACATATATACCATATATATTTTCACAAGATGAAAATGCAAGATAAAACATAAACAAGAAAACAACAACCTCTCCTCTCACCTCCTTGAGAGGAGTTGACTGGCCCAAGGTTAGCCAGTGAGCTTCCTAGTTGAGTCAGGATTTGATCAGTCCTTAGTCTAGCACTCTGATCACTTGCATGCTGTTTAGATTTCCACTAGACAATTCCTTTCTGTTCATGTGCTTTATTTTTTGCTTTCTCTCTTTCACTGTGTTATTTCTAGTTTCAAAGGGAGACTCTGAGAATGAATTATTGAAAGGATAACTCAATCTAGAGATCATCTTTTACCTCTGACTCAGTTCATTTGCCTCCAGGATCCACTAGGATTCATGATACTGAGAAATATCTATACAGTTTTTCAGTTACTATGCAGTTTACCGCAGCAGATCCTACTTGGTAGGAGAGTGACACAATCTAGAAGACAGTGATGTGGATAATCCTACTTTTCCCCATCTTTGACTAATTATTTTCTTTCAGTTAATTGGGCTCTTTCTAAAGATGCAGGGTTGACAGAAATGAAGGGTGAATGTTCTTCTTCAGAAACTTTGTAAGTTAATTCTTATGCACTTGCAGTTCTTGTGAAGTTAGTACAAGTGATCTTCCGTTCCCACTTTCATTAACTGACTAAGTTCACCAAACTTTAAAATTCATGCTGCCTTTTATCTTAGATAGGATGGATCAATATGATGCAATGGAGTGCTTGCATGAATGTGAGAGAGGCTCCCTTTTAGGAAACAAGGCAGACTTTACCAACCTAATATCACCCAGATGTTTGGGGCTATAACTCCCACCAGCCCCAGCCAGGCTGAAATAAGGGGTGAGCCTTTACATAAGAGAAGTGGCGAGCATGGAGACTGCTCAGGCAGAAGTCCCAAGATGATGCTTAATTGTAATTAAGTTCCACAAGAATCAGTGAGATTTACAAGAAAAACTTGTTTGGGGTTAGAGCCATAACTTCCAGCCTATTTTCAGGAGCAATCCTGTTGAATTTAACAGAACTACCCTAGTACATAAGGGTGTCATAGTTTTAATGGAAATTTGGCATATTGATTCCTTAAATACAGTGGTACTTTGGTTTGCAAACAGTCTGGTTTGCATACGTTTTGGATTACAAACACGTCAAACCCAGAAGTGCATGTCCTGGTTTGTGAACTTTTTTTTGGATTAGAACTCATTTCTTTTAGGATTACGAACATTATTTTTTTTGGCGAAAACGCGCCTAGGGTTACAACCTGTTTTGGTTTACGAACGGACCTCCGGAATGGATTATGGTTGTAAAGCAAGGTACCACTGTAAATGAAAGTAAAGGAAACAGAAACTAAGCCACAAATCAGAATCTAGAAATACAGTGGTACCTCAGGTTAAGTACTTAATTCATTCCGGGGGTCTGTTCTTAACCTGAAACTGTTCTTAACCTGAAGCCCCACTTTAGCTAATGGGGCCTCCTGCTGCCGCCGCGCCGCCAGAGCACGATTTCTGTTCTCATCCTGACCTGAAGCAAAGTTCTTAACCTGAAGCACTATTTCTGGGTTAGCGGAGTCTGTAACCTGAAGCGTATGTAACCTGAGGTATCACTGTACCTGGATTTAAGACATTTTGAGGAAGCTTCAGACATTAAAAGACGCGCCTATAAGTGGAACTGCTGTGTCCCACACTTCAGCCTTCAGCTTTCACCTCCTAACAAGCTGAATCATTTAACGGGCCCATAAGTCTTACTGCGCTGGAATTGAAGATGGATGAACTACCTTTTCCAGTGGATTTGTGTGTGTGTGTGTGTGTGTGTGTGTGTGTGTGTGTGTAAACGAGCAATGGTTTCCTACAGCAATCTGGACACAAAAACTTAAAATGTAAAAATGTATGAAGGCTTGGAATCAGAGAGCAAATCATTTGCACTTGGGAGATAAAATGTGGGACTGGAGCTGATGGGAACAAAGGGCAAGTATTGAGGAACAGCTGATAGAGTGGACTGATACGTGAGCAGTCCTGTATATTCCCACTTCAAAAGGGAGCATAGCATAACAGTAGAGCATGAGACTCTTAATCTCAGGGTTATGGGTCCGAGCCCCATGTTGGGCAAAAGATTCCTGCATTGCCGGGGGTTGGACTAGATGACCCTCGTGGTCCCTCCCAACTCTACAATTCAATTCAACTCTACAATTCTACTCCATCTCCTCAGAGTATTGTGAAAGAACAATATCAATCAACATTTGATGATCTCCTTCTACTGGTTCACAATAGAAAGTGTCCTTTCATACTGCATCACGGTGTGGTATGCTGGTTTGACATCAACAGATAGGAAGTGCCTACAGAGGGTGGTGAATACAGCACAAGATATTATGGGCTGTCCTGTGAATCCACTGGATGGAATAGTGGAAGAACGTTGTCTCAGGAGACTGAGGAAAATTCTCAGAGATGATTCACACCCTGGCCAGCACTTTCTTGATCTCCTGCCCTCAGGCAGAAGATATAGAAGCATGATTAGTCGCACCAACAGGGTAAAGAACAGCTTCTATCCATGGGCTGTTAGGCTGCTGAATGAAAAGATAACAACAGGGCAAGTGACTTCCGGGTTTTGTGAGTGTGCGTCAGTAAACGAGGGGAATTAAGACTAAGAGAGCTGATGGGGGTGTGTGCTTGTGTAATCTCACTGTATACAAGTTGTACAAGTGACAATAAAGTATTTCAAATGCATGATTAATGTGTCAGTGGGATTTTGCTGCATGCACATGCAATAAAACAGAGGTGAATAGATGGGCCATTACTCTTTGAAATTGTGCTTACCCACCAAGCAGGTGGTGTTCCAAGTATGTATATTTACATTAAAAATTGTCTTTGGCTGAAAGAGTAAGAGCCAAGACCCTTGGATTTTGCAAGGGGGTCTATTGAGTCAAAGTACATTTTAGCATCTGATTCCTTCTTAGAAAGTAAACGAAAAATAAAAATGCCAAAGATAAGCTACAAAGCAAAGGAAATTGGACTATAAGACTATTGCTTTTCCTGAGCTGAGCTCCAAGCCCTTCCCACTCCTAGCCTGTGGGAAAGCACTGTGATCAGAGGCCATGTTCATCTATTGCCACATGGGTGTGCAGCAGGATGCCAACCTGCGCCCCTTCCCTGATGTGTCGGATTACAACTCTGCAATTCCAGATGGCTTGAAACCGCATTCAAACCCACATGCAGCGGGACGAAATGGGCCATGAAATTGTGAACTTACTAAGCTTTTTCATGCAGTCTCGAAGCCTGGTTTCCAAACTGAGCACTCGCTGGTGGAGTTCCTCATAATCATAGGCGCCAATTTCCTCCTGGATCCCGGTGAGGACTGAAGACAGATTTCTAATTTCCTCTTTGAACTGGGTGATTAACTTAGCATCAGTTTTGTACTGTTCCAGGACTGGTATCAGTGGCAGGAGCTCATCCATCTTTTCTTTCAGCTCCTGCGAAAAAAGCAGTGAAGTGTGCATTAGGGAAGTCTAAAAATGTTACGTCCTCTAAGTTCTTTAATAAAATTCTTTTATGCTTCTTATCAAATCTATGCCTGAAATTCCTATTGATCGTAGTATCAAAATTAGTGTCCCACGAGAGGTTTAGAAGCCCCGAGATGAATGGCTTTAAAGCTTTGGATAAATTGTATGTTCTTAAATAATGTTCTTAAAGAGAAATCGTTTTCTTTTAAATCAAACCTTTCCCAGTATAGAACTAAGAAGAACAGGAATATTATTTTTTAAGCTAGTTTGATCAGAACCATACATCCATTTAGTCCAAATAATGACAGAATGCTTAGCTATATACATGCATTCCACTATTATCATTGCAGTGCGTGAGAAAGCTAGTGAATTTATTTGATTTTTCTATTTAGAAGAGGCGATTGGTTGATCTGTACAGAACTGCCTCATCCACTAAGAGCGTCCACTGTCAACGGTGGCAACTCTAAAGGAGATCCTTGTCCACATGAAGACCCCTGAATCTAGGCTGGTGTGTTGATAAACAACCCCTCCTACCTGACTGATTCTTTGGCCAATATTTTAACCATGTACAAAACTGGTTATACAGTGGTACCTTGCAAGACGAATGCCTCGCAAGACAAAAAACTCGCTAGACGAAAGGGTTTTTTGAGCTGCTTCACAAGACGATTTTCCCTATGGGCTTGCTTCGCAAGATGGAAACGTCTTGCAAGTTTGTTTCCTTTTTCTTAACACCGTTAATACAGTTGCGACTTGACTTTGAGGAGCAACTCATAGAACGCGGTGTGGTAGCCTTTTTTGAGGTTTTTAAAGACTTTGGTGATTTTTGAAGCTTTTCCAAAACTTTCCCGACACCGTGCTTCGCAAGACGAAAAAAATCGCAAGACGACAAAACTCGCAGAACGAATTAATTTCGTCTTGCGAGGCACCACTGTACCTGCCTTTTGGCCAATTAAGTATCAATAAAATGATTATTCCTCTAAAACTGCTCACAAAGCAGTTTCCCAGAGGAAAGGATTTTGATTATGCCCAAGTGTGTGGTTTGACCTTTATGCTAAAACATTTGGATTCTTCACCCACAGATAGTTTGTTTCTTCTAGATTTCTGTTAAGTGCAAGCTTCCCCAGACCCCAAACTGATTCCGAAACAGTTTCCTTAGCACACTGTACTACTTTGGTCAATACTTTAACCTTGTGTTAAACGAGTTCCATCAATCATTTTGCCTATCACCTGGTTTTGAAAGGTGATTTGGAAACACATACACCCCTTCTCCAATCCATTAAGAAAAGATCTCAGCTTCTAAATCCACAACAGCAAAAATGGACTGGCCAGTTCATCTGCGTAGGAGGCAAATGCAGAAGAATGGAAAGATAACATGGAAGTATAAAAATGGTAGGTGGGTCCTAAGCGAACAATAATATTGGGGTTGTATCCAATGCCAGTCCTCCTCAGATGAGACCCATTGAAATTAATGAACACAACTAACTTAGGTCTTGGGATGCGGGTGGCGTTGTGGGTTAAACCACAGAGCCTAGGGCTTGCTGATCAGAAGGTCGGCGGTTCGAATCCCCGCGACGGGGTGAGCTCCCATTGCTTGGTCCTTGCTCCTGCCAACCTAGCAGTTTGAAAGCACATCAAAGTGCAAGTAGATAAATAGGTACCACTCTGGTGGGAAGGTAAACGTCATTTCCGTGCGCTGCTCTGGTTCGCCAGAAGCGGCTTAGTCATGCTGGCCACATGACCCAGAAGCTGTACGCCGGCTCCCTTGGCCAAAAAAATGAGATGAACGCCGCAACCCCAGAGTCGTCCGTGACTGGACCTAATGGTCAGGGGTCCCTTTACCCTTTGCCTTAGGTCTATTAATTTCAATGATTTTACTCAAAGTCAAACTTGGTTGGCGGCAACCACTGAGCACGCAAGCTCACAAAAAAGAATAATCTGGATAGGGCATGATTTGGTTCCACTGACTCCGGCAGAAATCATTGCCTGCCCGCCTGCATTGGGTTTTGGCATTTGCTCATTTGGAATAAAGAGAATCGCTACATTTCATGATACATTACTAAAGTGGTTCTAATAAGAAAGCTTTGCCTATGATGGTTGAGAAATGCCCTCATGATGTTGAGAGAAATGAGCTGATATTGTAAAATCAGTCTTCAGCTCAGTGAATAGGTTTACCCCTTGAGGTGTTTTTCTTAGCACTGTACCATGCTGCATAATAATGATGATAGTGGTTCCAGTGTTTCGCCAAAAGTACATTTAAATTAATTGTATCAACCATTTCAATGTAATGAATTTTTTTAATGGGGGGGGGGGGTATCACCTGGGAAATATTAATTCCGGTGATGAGGTGGGGTAAAAATCCACAGGCAATGTCAAAAGGCATGTTTTACATATAGCTAATTTAAATAGATGTAAATTGCATTTTTAAATTACATGCAGAAATGTTATTACCATAAATGCATTAGAGTAACAAGAGCCCCCTTTGCAGTTCTCTTATATAATGTTATACTCATGAGGAAAATTCCACTTTTTGTTGATGCCCAGAAATCTTGAAATGATATCCGCTTGGAAAGGATGAATCGAGGGAGTGTTTTGTTAGACACAGAGCCATAAACTCACACAGACCTTCACAAATGGGACATTAAATCCTCTTTCTGTTCCAGAGATCTTAATTTATGAACACAGTGACATGGCTATGTACATCGATGGGCTTCGTTTCAATAGTGGTTTCAATATGGGTTAAAGGAAAGAACTATAGACCTCAGACTCCATTTCCTGAAGCAACTTACAGCAGTCCCTTACTCTATGAGGCAAATGTGCTTAATTTGTTCACGGTTGTTCTTCCTTTAACAAACTTGAACAATATATATGTCAAGGGAGACATAAGATGAGCAGTTCATGTGCGTAACAACCAGCCATTGTGCATAATTCACCTGGCCTCTTGAAACAGGGGTCAGCAAACATTTTCAGCAGGGGACTGTCCCTCAGACCTTGTGGGGTGCCGAACTATATTTTGAAAAAAAATATGAACGAATTCCTATGCCCCACAAATAAAACCACACATTCTGCTCATGTAAAAACATCAGGCAAGCTCCACAAATAACCCAGAGACCCGTTTTAAATAAAAGGACACATTCTACTCATGTAGAAACATGCTGATTGCGGGCTGTCTGCGGGCCGGATTGAGAAAGCGGTTGGGCCGGATCTGACCCCTGGGCCTTAGGTTGCCTACCCATGTCTTGGAATCCTTGGAAGGATTCTCCATGAGGTCCAGTGAATGTTCACAATGGCTGGTTGATATGCACACTAACCACTTAACTTAACATAACTCTTAACATATGCATGAACACTCATCTTTAAACATTTGTGTACATGCAGATGGGTACTCTGGTCCAGGGTCTTTTACAATGTAGTGCAGCAGCAACCAGACTCGGGAGGAGTGCTGTGGCTGTGAATTTTGTTCTGGTTCTTTGCACCAAGCCATGATTTGGCACCTGGGCCAAAGTGGTACTTATTGCCTGCAGTTAGATGAGCATGAAGGCTGTGGTTTAAGATCTGAAGATTGCATTTTAAAAGAAAAAGAAAGAAAAGAAAAGAAACCACATGGACTGGTACACTTTTATGCCTGAGAATTTTTTTTACAAAGGATCCAAAATGATCCAAATGCAGCCTTGTATTTAATCCTGGTAGCCAAAGCCAAGCGAATGGGATCCTGTGTGGTTGAGTGAGTGAGCTGGCAAAGGAGGAATGGAGCAGCCTGTCCCTCCTTTGTGCCCAGAACAGAACCTGTAGGCTGCCAGAAGAAATGAAAACATGTGCATTCAGCAGGCTACTGAAGAAGGGGCAGCACTCTTCATCCCTCTGCTGCCAGGTCATAGCAGGTAGGTGTTGGGTTGTTTTTGCAGCTAATAACTTTCGTGGGCATCGCTACAGATGAGGGATGTCCACTCACTGTACTCGATTCTGTTCTCCAGGCACTAGTTCAGGACCTGCAATTCTCAGTTGGATGCACAGACTCTCTGGCAAAGCTGACATCACTTAGCAGGGATGTAGGGAACACACGAGTGCACTGATTGTCTGTAATAATCAATGGGTAGAAATGCATTTTCTAAAAGATCCTCCCATTTCCTGCACACACTCTAAGAAGGCAGATCAGCCTTTTCAGACTGTGAACGAGATAAAAACACCGTAATGTGACTATGATATCCACAGGGCGACAGATTGCTTCTTTTTCTCCACAAGTGAAATAGGCTTTTTATAAAAAAACCCCACCTCTTGATTGAAATTTGGTTGAGCTAATTCAGTTGCTTAAGATGTCTGATCAAGCATATGCCAGTAAAAGGAAAACTGAACCTCTATTTTACAAGTTTTCAAAAGTGGGCCATATTGGTGACAGATATGGTGACAGACTAGGAAGCATATAAATTGCACTTTGGTCATTGTGCATACAAAGCCTGCTCTGTACCATTGTGCTCAGTCCCCAGCTTATGCATGAAGTGCACTGAGCAATCTCACAGATTGCTCTTCCAAAAGAAAGGAGCACGGCCTGTTATTCTGACCTTTTAAAATTACTGAGTAATATGATTGCTTTGCACTCCTTTTAAAATGCCAGTCAAAGGACCCAATCAAAGCTGAAGGTCCAGCCAATCCAAATATCGGGTCTTTTAAAAGGTTACAGTGCTCAGAACATGATGTTGCCCTTGACAGCTCTCATTGGAACTGCTGGATGCTGACCTTAACGCTAGGGCCACGAAAAGTGTAATGACAATACAAAATACTTGAATGGCACAATACAAGCTTCCCATTATTGCCAATGATGATAGGAATCGTCGTTGAGTCTTGTACGGCTATGGACATATCCTCTAGTTACACCATTCTGAACCTTTCTTGGGCAGGAAAAGAACATCTTAAAGGGAGCGTTTCTCCAACCGAGGCAACCTGATTTTGTTTTTGAATGGCTCTCGTCCTTAGGTTAGATAGTGGGGAGCATTTCTGAAAGCTACCTGTCAGAGCAGGCGGGTGAGAGGAGGTGAAGCAAGGCAGCCAGAGGAGTCTAGAAGAAAGGTGAGCTGACGTTGACAGAACGGGGAGCCGGCAAGCTGGCAAGGCAACACACTGTTGAGCAGGGCAGCTAAGAGACAGAGAAGCTGGGAGAATGGCAACTTGGCTTTTGCTGGAAAGTCAAGTTGTTCTGACTAAGCAAGAGTCAGACTCATTGTAGAGCCATGTAAAATGCTATTGGCTCCGTTGTGTCATTTGATCCCTTTTGGCACTGGTACAATGCACTGCAGAGAGCAGGCCAGAAGATCCCTCTTCTGCCAAGCTGCCATATTGGGGCAGTGAGAAAGGATCTGGGGTCTAATGGCCCTGGTTAGGGATGAGCTAGTTGTCTCCTCTAGTGACCTATAGCCTCACTCTGTTCTGGGGAAACCTATAGAATCTCTAGGGACGCGGGTGGCGCTGTGGGTAAAAGCCTCAGCGCCTAGGGCTTGCCGATCGAAAGGTCGGCGGTTCAAATCCCCGCGGCGGGGTGCGCTCCCGTTGCTCGGTCCCAGCGCCTGCCAACCTAGCAGTTCGAAAGCACCCCCAGATGCAAGTAGATAAATAGGGACCGCTTACTGGCGGGAAGGTAAACGGCGTTTCCGTGTGCTGCGCTGGCTCGCCAGATGCAGCTTTGTCACGCTGGCCACGTGACCCGGAAGTGTCTCCGGACAGCGCTGGCCCCTGGCCTCTTAAGTGAGATGGGCGCACAACCCCAGAGTCTGTCAAGACTGGCCCGTACGGGCAGGGGTACATTTACCTTATAGAATCTCTAAAATCGGTTCCAGTCTAGATTTCAGAACTGGAGCATGTGCAGTTTGTCCTCGTTTTCCATTTCTTTGGTTCATTTGGAGCTTCTCTGACTCCCCTGCCTTGGCAAAGTGCACAACTGCATTGCTGTTTGTTTGTTTGTTTGTTTTAACTCTTCCAAAAAGAAATCAGAAGCAAGCTTGGATTGTTACTTATTGCTCGCTTTTGTTCCTCTACATTAGAACACCACACAAAAAGAATCAAAAGGTTCAATCACAAATAACAAGCACATGAAAACACTTTTTTTGCAGAGGGTTGTGGTGTTTTTTCCACTGTGCACATGCATGTAAACTAGACAAGAGAGAGAGAGAAGTGTGATGGCCTGGGAATCTGATTCAGAGGCTGAACCTGAGGAGTCCCAGCCTGCACAGGAGTCCCCGCCTCCAGGGCCGGCTGAGCCGGGGCAGGGGCTTGAATCTGAAGGGCCTGCACCTGTGCCGGGTCCTCAGGATCAGACACCAGATGTATCCACTCTGGCTCCGGAGGTGACTGAGGACCCATTGCCTGCAGGTGCACCTCTCCCAGCCCTGTCAGGGGAAGGTGAAGCTGCCCCGGGTCCAGTAACCCTCCAGCCTCTCCTGAGCTGCAGAGGCTCAGGGCAGAGAGGCGGAGGGAACTGGGTTCTCTCAGGAGGAGTGCTCGCCTTAAGGCCAGGAGAGGCGGGTCACCTGTGGGCCGGGACCGCCCCTGGCCTCAGAGGAGATAAAGGCCAGTCAGCCCAGTCCACTCTGTACAAACTTCAGGGGGGAAACGGATTTTGAAATGTAAAGATCTTTCATTCCTGCAGAATTATCTGTTTCAGAAATTGTATATAGTGACAAAGTTGTGTGTAGTATGTAATTGGAAGTCTCCAAAGCAATCATAATGGTTTGTATTCAGCGCTGCCTTTAGCATATGTGCTGCCAGGGTGCAAAGATCTGCCCAGCACCCCCAAATTTCGTTTAGCCCCCAAATTAACTTTTATTATGCTTGTGTCAGACATCACGCTTACGCCTTATCTCTTGTTTACGAAAGAAGGGAGGAAAAAGAAACAATCTTTTTGCTCATTTATTTATACACAACACCACCACACTTACACTTGTAAGTATTGTTTAGGCACCTACTTAGGAGAAACATCAGTCATGTCAAAGGTGCCATTGACCCTGCTGCCGCATAGCAGCTCAACACAATACGTAACATAATATTTTGATGTAAGAGTTAATTTCATATGCATGGCACTGTTGTGAATGACAAGTGCCGCCATTGTGAATCACAAGCACTGCCGCTGTGTGTCTTTGGTAAATGAGCGCACAAAGTAGAAAGTCCTCTAGTGAAACAGTAGGTATACCTTTCGGTAATACCTAGGTATATATGTATTTTGTTTTTCTAGCTTGATCAAAATTATTTATTATTTCATAACTGGTAGAGCGTTAAGAACTTCGGCGCCTTGCGCCTGGCGCCCCCCAGAATTCGGCACCCGGGTGCCCCACACCCCTTGCACCCTCTGGTAAAGACGGCCCTGTTTGTATCCAGTGTTGTACCAGAGCGGCTTTGCTGGTGTCTATGAGCCCCCAAACCTGCTCTGGAGGCTCCCCTCAAGCCCCAGCTGTACGATTATGTACATAATCTGCAAGTGCAGCAAGCAAGGAATCCTCATTATGTATTGTGGCATGGGGGTGTTCATTTATTTCCTATGTGGAAGCCATTCAAGAGTGTGATCAAATTCCAGCCAAATACAAGTGCCTGGCTACAATGTACATTCTTCTTCTTCTTCTTCTTCTTCTTCTTCTTCTTCTTCTTCTTCTTCTTCTTCTTCTTCTTCTTTATTATTTGTACCCCGTCCATCTGGCTGGGTTTCCCCAGCCACTCTGGGCGGCTTCCACAAAGACCAAAAATACACTAAGATGTCATACATTAAAAACTTCCCTGAACAGGGCTGCCTTAAGATGTCTTCTGAATGTCAAGTAGTTGTTTATCTATTTGACATCTGATGGGAGGGCGTTCCACAGGGCGGGCGCCACTACCGAGAAGGCCCTCTGCCTGGTTCCCTGTAGCTTTGCTTCTCGCAATGAGGGAACCGCCAGAAGGCCCTCAGCGCTGGACCTCAGTGTCCGGGCAGAACAATGGGGGTTGGAGACGCTCCTTCAGGTATACTGGGCCGAGGCCGTTTAGGGCTTTAAAGGTCAACACCAACACTTTGAACTGTGCTCAGAAACGTACTTTTACTTAGTGTCAGATCACCCACGTCACTAGAGGTGAACACCAGGTCTAAGGCATGTCCCTGACTATGAGTTGGGCCATATAGCATAGTCAGTAAGCTAGTTGTTCAACATGCATAATAATCAAAGGATAGATGATTATCAGTAAGTTTGTTTTTTTCTTTACTAATCTTGTTCCACTGCAAGTTCCTTTCTTTGCTTGTATTTTTAACTTTGTCTCAAAATAAAATTCTGATTAAGGAAGGGGGAGGGAGGAAAAAAGGGCAGTTGGTTCCACTTCCAGGAAAAAAATGGATTAAAAAAATCAGACAAGGATAATTATGAAAGGAACCATCCCAATTATGTTGCTGCTGCTGCAAAGGTAGTGACTGTGGAAAAAATAGAAAAAGAGGCACTCAATTCTTCCTGTTTTTGAATGGATTGAAAAGATCTGGTCTATTGTGACAATGATTAAACTAACTTAATAAAGGCAGTTACAAATAAATCAACCCGATAAATTGATGGAGAAATAGGAGTTCTTCTAGATGCTTGGAATAACAAGCACAGGGACGACATGCAGCCTTATGAAGTTTACAACCTGTTGTAATGTTATTATTTGAAACTTTTGTTGCTGATACATTGTAAAAATTAAAAATATTAACAAAAATAAAATAAAACGAACTACATTACTTCATGTTTAACAAGAGCCAACAACCTATCATGCCTTTTTTAAAAAAAACCACAACAACAAACCCAGACACAACAACCGAAAAACCCACAGTGCTACCAATTAAAGCAGGCATAGGCAAACTCCAGCCCGCCAGATGTTTGGGACTACAATTCCCATCATCCCTGACCACTGGTCCTGTTAACTAGGGATGATGGGAATTGTAGTCCCAAACATCTGGAGGACTGGAGTTTGCCTGTGCCTGAATTAAAGCAACATGAACTTCTCTCCTTATAAACTTTCCCACCCTGGAAAGTACAGAATGTCAGAGTTTAAAGGGACACTATGGCTCCTTGCTCTTTTCTTATTAATTCTGCCGGGTGTGCTTCATTTATCACAAACAGAGGCTGTTTTGAATATAAATCTCCTGGTGGGAACCCCATCATGGATGCTGCAAAAATAGGATTCTGTTCTGCGGTGGTGACATTTCCCCCCCACTATTGTGTCAGTAATTAATGGTCACTTCCCATCACAGCGAAACGCTGCAGCGAGAGGGATGGTCGCAGCAGAAACAAGGGGGTTCATTATGCGCTTACCGACAAGCGTTTCAAGTCGACAGCTTTGCCGGCCGCACATTGTTTCTCACAAGCACATCACTTCTGGCAGTCATTCAAGTGATCATTAAAAGAAGATAAAAATCAAACATACTTGAAAATGCTTTGTCATTAGTGTCTTCCGGTCATCTTCAATTTGCCGGAACTTGGCCTTCAGCCCTTTCATTTGTGTTTCCATCCTTAAAACGTACTGGAAATCTCTCTGAGTCCGTAGGTTTAAAACTTCAATGGACTGAGACATATTCTGAACCTGTTAAGGAAGAACATCAATTATGCTCTCAGAATATACTGCCTATCTATCTATATACATAAGTTTCCGTTCTCACACATAAAAATGCTGTTATATCAAACGCTGAATGATACGCTGGCATGTGTCAGCATTCAGATTTGCTAGGCATTTTGCTGAGCTCTGAAATTCACAAGAACGGAGAATTGGAAACACAGTCTCGTTTTGTACAGGTACGACCCCTTCTAAAATTTAGGAGACTGTGGAGGTACAGAATTTGAACCTGTCCCTTTACCCCATCAAACAATGCCTGCAAAAAAGAACATATTGTGGCAACTCAGCAAAAGAGAAACATCGATGCTGAGGCAGAGCTGCATATTTTTGCACATATATATATATTAAATACTGTAGTAGCCTGAAGCAAAGTGTGTGTGTTGCTTTTAGGTCAGTTCAGGACAGTGCTGGGGATTAGTAATAACCACAGGCTGATATGGAAGCAGTCTCTTATGGCTGCTTCATACATGACATAGTTTAAAGTGCACACCTAAGTGGGTGTGAGTGTATGGCTAAGAGATGTAAATGCTGTGAACACGCACACACACACGTGTGCGTGTGTGTCTATCTGTCTATCATCTATCTATCTATCATCTATCTATCTATCTATCTATCTATCTATCTATCTATCTATCTATCTATCTATCTATCTTCTATCATCTATCATCTATCTATCTATCTATCTATCTATCTATCTATCTATCTATCTATCTATCTATCTATCTATCATCTATCTATCTATCTATCATCTATCTATCTATCTATCTATCTATCTATCATCTATCTATCTATCTATCTATCTATCTATCTATCTATCTATATCTATAACATTGGCTTAAGCTCCTGCTTCGGGATGCTTGAGGATTACATGCAGTCTGTATTTTTAAATAAAATGACTGGACTCACATCTCCCAGACTGATAGGGATATCCAAATGCAGTTACCTTTGGTATTGATACTTAAAAGTCATACCAAAATGCATATAAAAGTAAAGTAAAATAGTAAAGGTAAAGGGACCCCTGACCATTAGGTCCACTCGTGACCAACTCTGGGGTTGCGGCGCTAATCTCGCTTTATTGGCCAAGAGAGCCGGCATACAGCTTAGCCAGCATGACTAAGCCGCTTCTGGTGAACCAGAGCAGCACGCAGAAACACCGTTTACCTTCCCGCAGGAACAGTACCTATTTATCTACTTGCACTTTGACGTGCTTTCGAACTGCTAGGTTGGCAGGAGCAGTGACTGAGCAACGGGAGCTCACCCCGTTGCGGGGATTCGAACTGCCGACCTTCTGATCGGCAAGTCCTAGGCTCTGTGGTTTAACCCACAGTGCCACCCGCGTCCCTATAAAAGTCATACTTTAGTGTAAAACGCCAAAGTAATGCATATTTCATGAAAAACATGTACAAAAATAATGCACTTTTAAAAGTTCCCAGGCTGGTACAGAAACAAAATGGAATGGGTTTAAGAACAGATGTGAAAGCAACGCAGATCAAAAATAGACTGAACCATCCATCTCTGTTCCTGGTCAAATAAGCACCTGGCAAACTTTGTTTGCTGTGATCAGTGGTATGGCTCTGCCACTCTCCTGACCTCCAGTTGGTTGCATTGCTGAATACCAGGCGGTACAGTGGTTGCCACTGTGCAAGCGCACCTGCAGGAGCATTGCCTTGCCTCTGCCACTGTGTTTGCACCCTGTCAACCTCCCTTCCCAGTAAGTGGAAGTGGTCAGGTGAGTGCCACTGCTGTCATACACATCTTTTGGGTGTGCCTCAAGCTTTTTCATATTTTAGCTCCTACCTCTTCCCCACGGTTAAAACTGCTAAAAGTTCCCCTTTCCCTGAGCTTCAGATACATGTAGGTCGTTGAGGAATGCAGGAGACTGGTTTCAGAAGGATGGAGGGGAAAGGTAGAGCCCCTGCTGTTCTCACAGAGCTTGCTGGGCAGCCTTTGGGTGTTATCTATAGTGGTTAAGAAGGGACACGGGTGGCGCTGTGGGTTAAACCACAGAGCCTAGGACTTGCCGATCAGAAGGTCGGCAGTTCGAATCCCCGCGATGGGGTGAGCTCCTGTTGCTCGGTCCCTGCTCCTGCTAACCTAGCAGTTCGAAAGCACGCCAAAATGCAAGTAGATAAATAGGTACCGCTCCGGCGGGAAGGTAAACGGCGTTTCTGTGCACTGCTCTGGTTCGCCAGAAGTGGCTTAGTCACGCTGGCCACATGACTCGGAAGCTGTACGCCGGCTCCCTTGGCCAATAAAGCGAGATAAGCGCCACAACCCCAGAGTCATCCGCGACTGGACCTAATGGTCAGGGGTCCTTTTACCTATAGTGGTTAACTGAGGAATGAAGACCAAAGAGTTCAGGGGTCTAGGACCAAATACAGCCTCAGAAATACAAAAACAAAATAAAACAGGGTGGATCTGAATGGGGAATTTTAGGTGCACCAAAGAGAAGAGTGACTGCTTTTTTGAGTACAACACTTGACTTTGGATGGATGTTTTCTCGTGCTAATTTGAAGTCACTCGAGAACTCAGAGCTCTCAGCGACCAATTCATCACTTTCAGTGTGCTTTCTTGATTGCATTAGGACATTGGGCCTTTGCTCATCCAAGAACTCTTTAGCCTAGGGAATCAATTGGATTGTACACTTCAAATTCTGTGATGCAGTTTTGGTTCAAACAAAAATGCACTATTTTATGGGGGAAATGTGCATACAAAATGCATAGTTTAAAGGGAAATGCATTGAAACACAAAACATGCATTTTAAGGCTGGAATGTGTACCAAAACACATAAGATGTGCATAATAAATTCTAATAATAATAATAATAATAATAATAATAATAATAATAATAGCAGCACATTTTTGTGCATTAAAAAAATCCAAAATAATGGGATGGAAGGGACCTATGATTGAGAGAAAATGACATGGAACAGAAATAGGCTTCCCTATTCAGCTGCCACTGTTTTAAAAGAGAGTATATAACATATCAGATAACACAAAAATGTTAAGTATTCTAGCACAGGAATTGACAAATTTGATTTCATTACTTCTCAATTCATAATCCCAAAATACTATGCAAAAGAAATGTTTAGATGGGATTTTCAACAGGGGAAAAAATAAAATGAGGTAGGGAGGCTGAAAAGACCAGAAATGTGGTTGGTTTGGTTTTTTTTTGAGGGAGGGAGGGGGAGCTGCCACACAGATAAAATATAGCACGCTTCTGCTAATGTTTCAGGTGCTGTGAACCATATTATGTGGCTTCTCAGAAGTATGACATCTCCTTGATGGGGGGTTGCCACCATCCTTTGAAAGGATGTATTGTGAGAGTGGTTCCATCAATATTCAGACCTCAGCAGCCTTAGAACCACTAAAAAACAACAACAACAACAAAAACGGCCAGAAGTGTAGCCACCTTCCGAGCCGAGGAGCAGAACTGCTGACATAAATGTCTATTCCGTGTCAAGTTCACCCCCACCTACCCTATCAATTCTGGGCAATCTTAGTGCTGGTGTGACATCACCACATCACGTACTTCCCCACTCCCACTCTGAATCACTGCCAGATTTGTTGAAACACTGGGATCAGGGTCTTTGATGTGGGGTCAGGGTTTTAGTTCAGCCCTGACTCTTGATACATTGGAGTGCATTTATTTATTTTTCTTTCAAAGTCCCCGATTTCTATACTTTCCTGATACTTTCCTTTTTGATGTGTCTGTGCTTTGGAAGATGCCAGACAGCAATATTTGTTCAAGTACAAAGCGTCTCATCCCCCCCCCCCCGAACTATGCTAGCGTTTTCTTCTGCAAGTACTTGAAAGTGCAACCTGCACATTGGATCTCCTTCTCACTGAAATAAAAGGAGAAACGAAGAAGAAGAAGAAGAAGAAGAAGAAGAAGAAGAAGAAGAAGAAGAAGAAGAAGAAGAAGAAGCAGCAGCAGCAGCATCAACAGCAGCAAGCCCTGGTGTCCAGACATATATCCACAATGCCTCAAAATTTCCTTTTGTAATCAGCCTTCCTCACACTGTACTGGAAGCAGCTTCCTCCAGCCCCTTGAGATTGGGTGCACTCTTCCCACCTTGGATCAACTCTACGCTTCCAGGTGTCATAGGAAAGCTTTAGAGATAGTGCAGGATAGTGTGCACCCCGGAAATGATCTCTTTCAGCTTCTGCCTTCTGGAAGAAGGTACAGGGTTATAAAGACTAGGACTAGCCGCCTGAGAAACAGTTTCTATCCAAATGCAATTTTGGTTTTAAACGCAGTGTAAGGTAGTCTCTATGGGAGTATATTGTATTTAATTATAGGGTATCAGAGTTTTTAGGGGGTTAACCAGGCTGGGATAGCTGGGATAGTAGGCTTGTTGGTTTTTGAATGTCCGATGTAGATTTTTTCAATTTCGTTGTTCTGTATGGGACAATGACAATAAAGATTATTGTATCGTATTATCGTAACTGCAGAGTGGAGAGCCATGGTGTCCACATGGGAGTCTGTATATGGTGCTTCAGTTCCAACCTTTGCCAACTGGCTCCCTGGCTTCATCTTCACAAAGGGCTGTTTTATCAGCCAGGAGGAAGCTCCATATTGAAAAGCATTATACCTTGGAATACTTTCATAGTCTGCTTGTGAGCTTCCAGTGGCATCTTTCAGTGCTAGAACAAGATGCAGATGGCCACTAGCAATTAGACGCTGGACAGCAGGTAAAGGTAAAGAAAGGTAAAGGTGTGGGAATGTTGAGGGTGGTAAGAGAGGATATATTGATTATTAATATCCTTCCTAACTTGCGCTAGGAAGTTTCTTCACTCCCCCCCCCCCGGTTGTAGACTTGTGTGAGCCTTTTAAGACAACAAACAATTCAATCTGGCTTGCCCAGATTGAGATATGTTCTATTATTCCTGGTAAGACCCCTTTGATCCCTCCTAAAAGAATAAAGACATAACAGTCTTATTCATAAGTAACAAAAAGTAGTTTTAAAC